ACAGAGCTTGCGACAGCTCATGTAGCTAAAGATCGAAGTTCCACACGGGAAAAATCGTCTTACAAGTCTTACTTAGTTAAATATTTTTCATTAATTATTATTAGACTGTGATCCTTGGGTTTTTTTCCGCGAGCAACTCAATATTAATATGAAGATGCGAACTAGCTCTTGATGGAGGTCGTAACTACGAAATCCGTAATGAGCGAAATGTCGTCAACTGTCAAAAATACTGATTTACATTTTCTACTGCGTCAATAATTAAGAGAATGGGTAGCTATCCAAAAAAGCTTATTTAAGAACTTACTCAGTTTTCATAAGGACGATAAGAGAGATTTGTGCGACGAGTTAATACTTAAAATGCTTATGATTACAATCAAAAGTAATAACTTAAAATCCAAAGTGAATCTTAAAACAAAGATGGTTTGTGAAATTATAACCATTCGCAGCATGAGTCAACTATCAATGATCAGATGGCAGGTAAATTTTTTTATCGGAGTACGGAGCAAAAAAAACCTGCATGTTCGAAATCTGATCTGATCGTCTTTCTTTCGAGATCAACTGGAGGAAAAAAAACTCCATCTCTCCTGGCAAAATAGATGTAGACGAAGCTTATGGTGTCATTACAGGAAAGTTAGATTCGAAAATCTGTTCTTAGTTATGGCAGCTGATCATGTGACGTCTACCCAGAGGACTTAAATTGACTTACTTGGTCGCAGATATGGTTTTCCTTTCTTGCTCAAGTGTTTTTAAGTTTTGCTTGAAACTGGGTCAAAATTTCGCCTGAAATTCTGAATCTTGTGGAGTACTTGAAACCAAGAGAAAAATGACTGTCCTGTGTGTTTGTAGGAATGCCTTTTTGTCTGCACTCAATTTACATATACATAGCAATTTGAAAAAAAGCAAAACAAAACCGCAGAAGGAACGAGTGGATGATTAGAAAGATGTGTGGGTGGATGTGTTTAAGTGGGAGGAAGGAGCTTAACCGTGGGGGGGGCAGGGGGTCACCCTTACGAATTTGACCGCGTCATGGGTAAGTGGCTTACTCCGCTTTACTTCTCTGTATATCAGCGGGCTCGTATTCACGGAACGAGAAGGACCGGCAAATGGAAGATATTTCTGTGGTGTAGATTCTTCAGATTACATGCATTTTTGGAAACTTGTGTAAGTGTAAGATTTATATTCTATTGACTTTAGAGACAAACACAATTTACCTTAGGGAGGGGAGAGGAGTCACGGGCACCCCCCGGACTCGAATTTGTATTACTACTTAAGATAAAGTGATGACCACATTTATTATCATCTTCATCATTATCATCATCATCACTATCAACATCATTTCCGTTTGCGTAGAATGATTCATTGAACTTAGAAATTGTTAGTGAATTAATGTGCTCATGCTTTGCATAAGGCTTAAAGCACATGATCTTTTAAATTAAAAGACTTAAAAACCTCCAATGTATAAGTGTTTCTCACATGACTCGCTGTCGAATTCGAACTCAGGGCACCGTTCCATTTGAAGTTTTTACAAGGGGAACCACTTGGTTGGTTTTTCTTCTTTTACAACTTCTACTTTCAGCATGTGAGCTCATGTTTCTTTGTGTCACGTACACAACCCAAAGTTAACCGCAATTTTCTGAGCTTTGAAAGTTGTAGCAATTGCGGTTTACGTCCACTTCCTATATTAGTGAGCAGGAAATTGTGAGGAAACCACATTACTGCTTTTGTTTTCTTCTAGAACATGCAAGCCTTTGTGCTTGGCAACTAGCTGATGGCTTTTTCATGGCTGTACCTTGAGCATGACATGGTGCTATCGCACTTTCTCCAAACAATATATTTATTAGCTTCAGCTTCAGGTAATAAGCAACGTTGAACGCGAGTGGTAGTCCTGTTCAGAGGCTAGAGCTCTTTTTCGCTAATTGATGCGGGAGGTAACTCTCATTACCTTAAACTTTTTTATTTTGTCAAATTTACTAAATTTACTGAACAACTCCTCAGGCAAAATGTGATGACGTTGTTGATTACTTATCACCGATCAAACGGAAAAATTTGATTTTGACCTCGTCCTTAAAGTAAAGAGGAGTGGGCCAAAAAATTTGTCTACCGGGTTTTGTAAAACTCTATTTCCAAAGTTGCTGCAATTTAACTTTGGGCAATGCTGAGGGTCTCGATGGGGTAATGGCTTTCACGGGTAACGGTTCAAGTTAAATTTTGGCCAATTTACGGCTAACGGTTAATATCTTTCCATTGATGTTACCAGAAGTGTTTTTTTACGGTTAACTTTTTTTTACGACTAACGCTTAAAATTTGTCAATTTTTACACCTAACGGCTAAATTTTTAGGCCATTTTAAGGCTATCGGGTAGCCCAATTAGACCCTCAATACTGTAATAGGAGGATTTAGGCTATTGTCAGTGGCCTTACAAGTCTCAGTATGCGCATGTTGAAGTTATATACACAGCAGAAATACGCGCTACTCGAGTCAGACTTGTCTTAGCAATGAAACTCCGAGGGGCGACATCAAATGCCACTACCTAGTTGAGGTCGTCACTACGAGATTCTTGGTGTGTGAAATGTCGTCAGTAGCCAAAAATATTTACATTTTCTGCTGCTTTAGTCAGGGAACGAGTACTTCGTGAGAAAAGCTAACATAATAACATCTCTGAAGGATGATAAGAAAGATTTACCCAACTCACCTAAACTTTAATTAGGAAATAAAATCATCACAAAAAACCCAGAAATATTCAAATATCGAAGGTAAATCAAATACTGTTTGTAAATTCTGAAACTATTCGCAATCAGCCAACTGTAAAACTCGTCTAAGGAAAAAAGATAATTTCTTGAACACAATATTTATTGAATCATATCTTAAAAGGGTTTTTATAGCAACTGCAAATGTCTACTTCAACATGAAGTGTCAAGTTTTTGTTCAATGCCTCTGGATGATCGATCACCTCGAAAAGTTCGACCGTTCTAAAACCTCTGGAATTAGAACTAGTCACGGTATTAGTAAATTATCATGCCAGAAAGACTGGGGCTTCCACATGTAAGAAGATTTACTTAACTAGTTATAGAACGCGTTTAGGCAAGTAAGTTCGTCAGTTGCGTCAATAGGAACTGCATAACAAAAGGGTGGTCATAGCGACTGCGGGAGGCTACTTTGATAGAGATCTTGGAATAATGATAACCTTTAGGTCGATGGTACTTTATAAGGAGCTCAAAAAGTTAAGCTCACATGTTTAGCTCAAACAATAATCAAATGTCATAAAAAAAACACAGTAAAAATCTTCAAATAAAGCGAAGATCTTTAGTCGAACTTAATACTAAAAGAAAAACTTGTTTCCCCCCTAAGCATTTAGTGTTGTTGAGGTTCAAAGCGCATTTATGCTTTAGTCACGTAGCCCTTAAACACCTGGATTTGTTTGATGTTATCCCGGCTTATATTGATACCTTAGATTTAAATGTTTAAAGTGACTAACTTGATCGACGCTAGGAATTTCTTTTTTGGCTCGAGAATCTTTAAACTCAAGGGAGTGACTGGGTCAAGGTTTGCAGCATAAACACTGAATCTTGTAAACTTCTAAATGCCGATCAAGACGAACTTTGCATATAATAACAATTCGTGAGGACGAAGTTAATTTAGCATTGAATAATTTTATATTGACAAGCCTCTGTATGATTTTTAGCCTTCCTTGCTGTTTTTTTATTTTCATTTTTTAAATGATCGAAATAAATCACAGAAAGATCAAAATCTGGTTAAGATATAAGCGACACTCTAGGCTGCTTCTTCTACTAAACATTCGCATAGCAACGTGGATTATTCCATAAACAAAAGACAAAAGCCGAAAAAAAAAAAAACTAAAAAAACACTTTCCCATTTCCAGCCTCTAGCTTCACAGTGTTATGAGTTATATCTATGCCTCTTTGTTAGGGATATAATATATGTATTTTGGATAGAATGTTTTAAGGGCGAAAAGGAAATTTGTAATGTTCCTTTCATTTACCAGCACAGCCGCCATCATTACAAATCTTTGTTGATTAATAATAACAAATGAATTCTGCTTCTGGTGAAAAGGGAACATAAAGTAAAAGGAATGTTTGTATAATAAATGCGTCCTCAGTTCTTGGTATGATTTCTTTCCTTTGTTATTGACCGGAAACGCTTGATTGCACTCTCAGTCAGACAAACCTCCTCACCCTCTCCCCCAACGCGGTATTTCAAAACTCTTTACACTGACAATTAATACCATAGTAATATGCAATTTCCAGATGGTCGACTGGTAATCGTGGGCGCGCATCGAGTAAAAGAGAGGTCATCGAGGCCGCGGGTTCGAATCACGCTATAGGAGTTATTCTTAATCTGGCTTGGGGGCCGAATAACTTTTCCCCGAGTATAATTTGGAGCTGGCGGACAAGGAGTAACTCTCAAACTGGCTTGGGGGCCGAGTAACTCCTCCCCATGGAATATTTACATTTTTTTTTTTGCTGTCTTTTCTATTATTTCCCCTACTAATCAGCATTTTTAGCAATGTTCTTCCTTTATCTTTTTTTACTCTGAACTGTTATTGGGTCACGGTGGCACTTTCTCTGATACGGTTTTTGCAGGTGTTGGTTGTTGCTTTTATTTGTCTTTTTTCTTTTTATTATTATTCTTTTCGAAATTAGATGTTATCTATAGTACACAATTTTACATTCACAACTGAAAAAAGAAAACTTGACAAAACATAACAAAACTTCTCTCATGTGTATTTTCTGTGAACGAGTAACAATTTTCTCCCGGCCTGCAGGTCGCTGATGACAGGTTATAAAAATCTACCCACAAAGAATTCATTCATTGGTAGACATGGCATGACCCGGGTTCGATTCCCGGCGTCACATGTGAATTGAGTTTGTTGTTCGTTCCTGTCCTTGCTCCGAGGGTTTCTCTCCGGGTCCTCCGGTTTTCCTTCATCCGCAAAAACCAACATTTCATTCGATACGTAAACAGCGGACAAGAAGAACCCCCTGCTAAATTCTCATTTTATTTGATTTACTTTTATGTGTGGCCATGCAGCCAACTGAGTTTGGAGGATGCAACCAATTACCCAAACATTTTCTCGAGAATCTCATGAAAAAAAGATGAAAAAAAGTAGATAAACTAAGCCTAACTGCAAAAACCAAAACAAGAAATAGTGTGTGGGTCCAAACAAAGGTCAGTTGATAAACTCAGCCCGTTCACTGATGAAAGTTAAACAAGACGTGACGGCTTAAAACCTAAATAACTGCGGACTTTGAATTCAGATATTCACGAACTGTTAGATATAAACAAATGATCGCTGCAGGACTAAATACACAGCAATTTCATTTGATAAGATCATTCCTTTCACTTGAACATAATCAGTGACCATAATTCCACATTCTTAACTAAGAGTAATTTCGTCGTCAAAGTGTTGCCAGCTACATGCATCTCAGTTGATTAAGGAAGGGAAGGGTGGGGGCAGGGCATGTTAAACTATATTCAATCTTTAACACTGAGACATTCCAAAACGCTTGACGCGGAGGCGTTTGTCTTCTCAACGAGATCTTTTACTACTTGGGTATCGAATGGAAATTCAAACTTGGACGTCAGGTTTGCAAGCTGTTGAAATGAAAGAAATATAAATTATTGTTGTGTACTAGGGAATCTAGTATGAGTTGGCCACAGTGGGATTTTGGGCGGTTAAAACGAGAAAAAGAGAACCCTGCTA